GATGTAAGTTTAGATGACTAGAAAAGTTCATTTGACTCACTTAAAAAAAATTAAGGCAGCTAATTATTTTTTCCAAACACTGCTTGAGGAAGCTTCAAAATCTTCACAAATCTTTAGCTTCGAATCTGTAGTTTGGAAGCTATCAAATTCCTAAGGTCATATGATTTCAGTAAACAGAGATTACATCATTACTGTTTTGAAACATTTTAAAATGTAAACTTTCTCCGCTAGATCTGTGTAAAACCATGAAATACACATTAATTACTTGGCTCCATTTAGATCATTCCCCAGTGGCAAATCACTGAACATGTTTCATAGATTTTACCTCAGATCTCAGATCAGTTTCATGAGTTTGTATACGTTTTAATGAGACATCTGCAAAATTAAAAGGACTAATAGTTAAATAAGAAAAAAAAGTTACTAGTTAAAGGAATACAAGTTTAATAAATAGTAAATAGGAATAATAATAATTCAAGTTAATGGTTAAAAGTTAATTGTCACTTGTTGGCCTGTTTAGAATCAGATTGTAGTTAAAATGAATGCTAGGGGTTTATGTTTTTTTTTTTATTGAATACATTTGCGTATTTGCAACTTTTCTAGAATTGTCAGTTTGCTCTGTAATTTACTTTAAACAGTGTTGTACTTATGATGCAGATTGATCGGGTTTGAGTCTGGTGTGGAACGGTTCTACAAAAAAATATCAAAGCATTGTAAAATCAAGGTAAAGCTTAGTGGTTGCAGTGCTCTTTTCTCTTACGGTTGATTTTGAAAAAATATTGGTTGGGTTTAGGCAAGGGTTTAGGTCAGTGGTTCACTTGGTGAGTTGTATGACATCTTGTAGACATGTAAGAAGGTGATGACATGTACAACAAAACATACCCTAAGTGACATATTTCAGATTTACAAAATGTAGACAGCGCCCTCTAGTGGATTTGTCTTCTGAAACTTACTAAATAGGCTAATTCTGAAAATGTAGCCCTATATACTTTTCTGGAGATCATAAATTATGTAGCCAGATGTACGTATGGCTGCATTTCGTCTTTAAAACGAACGCTATGGGGCGGTATGACGCTATTCTTTTTCGTGCTTACCAGCTGACTGCTTACCCCCATATGGACGGCTTTCCTGCACTTAGCCAGCTTGCCCAGTGGCTGGCAGCATACGTCAGAGGACATAAGACGCAGTGAGAAGTTGACCAAGATAACGGGGTTTGAGTCTGGTAAAGAATGGTTCCAGAAACCGAGTAAGACAAAAACAGAAGTACCAGTAGTACACTGTTCATAGTGATGTAGTAATTAATAGTAAATGGTACGCAAAAGCAAAGAAGTTGAAAACATGTAAAGTAAAGTGTTTGATCATTGTATTCACAGTTTTGTATGGAAATAACATTGTAGAAAGATGCCATTTAAGTTAAAAGCAGTTTAATCCATGTCTCACATACGACAATTAGTCACATTCTGGAGCCCTGCTATGTCTTCTTTGTTGTTTTTCCCCCATTGGAATCTCATAAAAGCAACTGATTTTTTTCTTGTGTGTTTGTAAACAGCACTGGGGTGACAGGGTTCTACCTGTGGAGAGGCTGCAGTTGTTGAGAGCAGCTCATCCATTTCTAATGCAATTAGAGGTGTCAGTATCTCCTCTGAGAGGCAATTCTTGCATGGCCACTGAATATGGTTCCTCCTCCCATTTAAATCCCTTGGATTAGATTTGAGTGTCAGCTGGCAGACCTGCTAAGTGTCCACTGACTAAGTCGACGGCAATGCGTTTCAGTATATTACTTTTCAGATGTTTTTTTTTTTTTTTTTCATTGAGTTGTGCACGGAATGGTAAAGCAGAGGATACTTTGTGGATACGTGTAAATTCATCTTAAAGGAAGTTTGGGTCACACATTATTCAATTCTAGCTGACGAATCTTTTACTATGACTTCAGAAAAAGACTCTAAAATAGCCTTAAAGAGACATTGTTTTAGATTAATAAACTTGAAAAACAGCTTAAAATTATAGTTCACCCAAAAAGAAAATTAATTCAATGTTTACTTGTTTACCCTTGTGTGCTTTCAAACCTGTAAATGTTTGAGTCTTATTATAAAAGTTTTTTTAGTTTTTCTATTTTAAACTGACGGAAAAGAAAAGTTGCTATTTTCTAGGCCGATATGGCTAGGAACTGTACTGTCACTCCGGCGTGAAAATCAAGGAAATTTGCCACCGTACACTCTCGGAAAAAAGGTACATATTGGTACAAATAATGTTCCTTCAGGGAACATTGTGCCCTATATGGTACAGAAAAGAACTCTTATGACATTGTTCTGTGCCTTTTATGGTAACTGAAATAAAGGTACACAATTGTTCTCACAGAAAATGACAATTCCTTCTGTATTACAATATCTACCAAAATAAATATTGCTGGAAAAGCAAAATGATTTTATGAATAATGTCCAAATTAAAGCATAAATCATCATGTATGTGTTTAAATCTTACGAACATTAATGTTTAAGTTCTATGACTTAATAATACAAAACAACTGGTAACATAAAACTGTAGGTTTTGTAAACTAGACATTTAAGGCATTTTAAATAAATGTTTGGTAAGCATTTTTGACACTGTTTAGGTTCAAAGTGTCTTGTCACTGTGGTGGTACCTTCATGGGTCAGATTTGTACCTTTGATGGTACAATATTGTATTTGCAGGTTCTAAAAAACTAAAGGTACATTTTGGTTTTCCATGGTACAAATCATGTCCTTAAAGGTACAAACTGCAATGGTACAACTTTGTTTCTTTATCTTAATGTACAATTCTGTCCCATAAAAAGGTACTGCTGCATTGACAAGGGTTTGCACCTTCTTTGGTACAACATTGTACCATTTGTTTTGAGAGTGTACCATGGCTAAATTATTTATTTATTTATTTATTTATTTATTTATTTATTTATTTATTTATTTATTTATTTATTTATTCATTCATTCATTCATTCATTCTTACTTTCTTTCGGTCTTTACACGATGTAACTGCAGAAAAACCAAGCTTTCAAGTTAATCAAGTTTAAGATATTCAAGTTCTTTGGTCAATTTTGAGCAAGATGCTAATGGTCTAATCCAATTCAATGATCTATGCTAAGCTAAGCTAAAAGTGCTTGATTCAAAAACAGTAAAACTCAATAGTTTAACTTTCTTAGAGAGTTGTAAAATTAACATATTTTCAAAAAATAAAAGAAAATAAAATAAGTGGTGTGTTTCTTTAAATATAAATATTGCAAAAAAATTACATAAAATACAATAATGCCATCAAATGGCTAGAAAAAATACATTTGCGATTACTTGGCTTTATTATTATTTTTTATTATTATTTATTAATTTTTTTTTGTAATTTAATGTTTTGTGGAGAGTAGAGGGATAGTGATAGAACCAAATAGGTGGATGTGGATAATCAGGAATGACCTCTTAATTACCATTTATTGACCTTGGTTTATTGTCTCGTACAAATGACCGCACTCACTAACAGTATCCCGTTCACTATACTGGGACATTAGGAACACCCCCCTACTGGCCTCACTAACACCACTTCCAACAGCAACTTAGTTTTCCTATGTGGTCTCCCATCCAGATATTGACCAGGCTCAGCCCTGCTTAGCTTCAGGGAGTTACCATTCTTGGTCTGCTGTGTGATATGGCTGTGGCTAATATGTTTTTTTGCATAATGGCAAATCTCCCCATTAGCTTTTTTTTTTACTTTGCATCTATAAGTTTATTTTATTTTTATTATTTATTATTATTTTTGTTTTATTTTGTACATGATAAATGTGCATCCTATGTTTTAAATATATCAGCTGTTGATTTACAAGAAACAGACATCAGAAAGGCCGGCATTAAGTTTTCATGTGTGTTCAGAGCTGTGTGTCATTAATAAGGGTCATTTAGCGTGTGCAAGAAACGACGGCCTGTGCTCTTTGTCTTTAGTGACACCAGCGCCAAATGAGGAGAGACAATGTGTCCCACTGATCAATGAGGGGAAAAAAAGGCTGCCAGTGAAATGAAGTTAAATCTAATGTGATAAACGGCCCCGTCTGTCAGCGGGATCAGATCAGAGGTTTTAATTTTATTCAAGACGTTGCGGCTCAGGTAAATAAATAAAGGCTGTAATGTAAGGAGGCGCAGCGCTCCCTAGAGAAGATCAGGTTGAAATTTTAGAGGGTGAGACGCCGTTTAACCAACATAATTTATGTCTGCTGTCGGCCTTCCATCTGAAGTCTTTCCATTATTTCATGTCCTTTATATATGTAAAAAATAAAGCATGTGTAGTAAAATTCAAAAATAGATAATACTACATTATCTTTGCTTTCACTATCCAGTCTATACTTTATTTTATTTTATTTTTTAATATTTGTTCCTGCAATAGAGAAATGTTAAAATAGAAGTTTTATTTAATTTTGTTTTGTTTTATTTTATTTTGTTTTAATAATTTAATTTATTTATTTAACTTATTTTATTTTTTATTTAAATTTATTTTATCTTATTTATTTTTTCTTGCAATAATTTTTAAAAAATATTTAATTTAATTTTATTTTATTTTATTTTGTTATTTGTATTTAATTTATTTTTAATTTTATGTATTTTTTAATTTAGTTTAATCAAATTAATTTAATTTGTTAATTTTTACCAGTTTATTTTACTTTTAAATCAGTTTGATTTATATTTATTTAGTTATTTATTTGTTTATTAGTGTCCTCCAAAACAAAAATAGTTTAGGTATTACACATTTTTAATACATTTTTATCTGCAACAGTTTATAAATATTTGCAGTTCGTAATGATAAATCTGATAGCATATTAGCCTTTTCACGATGTGCGCAGTATACAAAGTAAATTAATGAGAGTATTTTATGCTAATGTTCTTTATTTCTTTGTATTGACATATTTAGCTAGTCAATTTCCTAAAAAAAAAAGTTAGTTAATGATAGTAGTTAATGATAAATTGCTACAGTTTCGTTTGTTTGTATCTCTGCAGGAAATGCCATCCGGCCAATCGCATTGCGTGCAGTTTCTGCCATAGCGAAAGCTCTACCGGATTTTCCTATATTGGCCACCGGGGGCATCGACTCTGCAGAGTCTGCATTACAGTTCCTTCATGCAGGAGCCACAGTATTACAGGTAAGATGTTTCCATCCAAAAATATGCACATCACATCACATTTACATTAGTCATTTAGCAGAAGCTTTTGTTTACAGTAGGAGTTTTTTTATATTTAGAGAAGGAGAGAGAGAAAGATTATTCTCAGAGTGGTTATGGTTTTATTCACTGGCATCGTTCAGGTGATCTTTGAGGTAGTCAGGTTGTCGTTTTAAGGATAGCAGTGAATCTGCAGTCCGAGTGGGAATGAGAATATCATTCCACCAGCGTGGAACATTGAACAAAAAGGTTTTGGAAAGTGACTTATAGCCTCTCTAGAATTGCACCACAAGTTACATCACAATATCATATCATTATTAATTAGCTATTATCACTTTATCTGTTGAAGACAAAAATAGGCCTTTGTTTCAGAACAGTTTGTAAGGTTTGGTCGGAAATTTATTTTATTTTATTTTTTTATTTTATATATATGTAAATATATAATGTATGTATATGTATATACATGTATATATATATATATATTTTTTTTCATTTTATTGTGTATATTATATAAATTTTTTTATGTTCCAAAATAGATGAAGTTAACTTATTTCCTCAAAATTCTACACACATTACCCCATAATGAAAATGTGAAAAAAGATTTTTTGAAATTGTTGTAAATCAAAAAAAATAATATTAATAAATAAATAAAAACATTACATGTACAGAAATATGCATAGCCTTTGTCGTGAAGCTCTAAGTTGAGCTCAGGTACATTCTGTTTCCACTGATCATTCTTGAGATGTTTCAGCAGCTTAATTGGAGTTTATTTATAGTAAATTCAGGTGATTGGATATGATTTGAAAAGGCATACACCTGTCTATATGAGGTCCCAGGGTTGACAGGGCATGTCAAAGCACAAACCAAGCATGAAGACAAAGAAATTGTTTGTAGACCTTGATGTAGACAGGATCATCTCTAGACACAAGGCTGGGGAAAGAAACAGAAAAATTTCTGCTGCTCTGAAAGTTCCAATGAGCACAGTGGCCTCCATCATCTGTAAGTGGAAGATGTTTGGGACCACCAGGACTCTTCCTAGAGCTGGCCGGCCATCTAAGCTGAGGGCCTTAGTCAGGGAGGTGATCAATAACCCGATGGTCACTCTGTCTGAGCTCCATCGTTCCACCAATCAGGCCTGTATTGTAGAGTGATCAGATGGAAGCCACTCTCCGACTGAAATTTGCCATCTAAAGGACTCTCAGACCATAAGAAACTAAATTCTCTGGTCTGGTGAGACTAAAATTTAACTCTTTGGAGTGAATGCCAGGCGATACATTTGAAGAAATCAAGGCACCGCTCATCACCAGGCTAATACCATCCCTACAGTGAAGCATGGTGGAAGCAGCATCATGCTGTGGGGATGTTTTTCAGCAGCAGGAACTGGAAGACTAGTCAGGATAGTGGGAAAGATGAATGCAGCAATGTACAGAAACATCCTGAATAAAAACCTGCTACAGAGTTCTTTTGACGTTAGATTGGGGTGACGGTTCATCTTCCAGCAGGACAATCACCCAAAACACACCGCCAAAATATCAATGGAGTGGCTTCACAACAACTCGGTGAATGTCCTTGAATGGCCCAGCCAGAGCCAGATCTAAATCCTATTGAACATTTCTGGAGAGATCTAAAAATGGCTGTACACAGTCACTTCCCATCCAACCTGAGAGAGCTTGAGAAGTACTGCAAAGTATGGAACAAAGGCTGTGAATATGGCTTTAAATTTTACAACTATTTGTAATAATTTAACAATTTAATAAATTTGCAATAGTTTAAAAAAATCTTAATTCACATTGTCATTATGGGGTATTGTGTGTAGAATTTTGAGAAAATAAATGAATTTAATCAGTTTTGGAATAAGGCTGTAACAAAAAAAAAAAAAAAAAAAAAAGAAATGTGGAAAATGTGAATCCCTATGAATACTTTCCAGATGCACTGTATCTTCAAGGTTTACTATGTGTGGTTAAATAATTAAAATGATGTTGTCTATATATAGTTGTCTTTGTGTGTGTGTGTGTGTGTGTGTGTGTGTGTGTGTGTGTGTGTGTGTGTGTGTGTGTGTGTGTGTGTGTGTGTGTGTGTGTGTGTGTGTGTGTGTGTGTGTGTGTGTGTATATATATATATATATATATATTTTTTTTTTTTTTTTTTTTTTTTTTATTGTTTAGGCATTAAATAAACTGGCTTTTAGTACCTTCAACTTTTTATGCATTAAATAGGGATTTTACATTTGCTGAAATTCAGTAATGTAAATATTATGCACATATATACACGTGTATATACAGCATATAATTAAATAATTCAATAATTTGCATATCTGACTTTTTTATTGCATTTTTTCACTGCCTTTTTTTTAACATCGTTTTTTTTTAGGTGTGATCAAATAATTAAATAAAAGCATATTTAAAAAAATATTTTATCAACTAAAATTGATAAATAGTTGCAGTGTGTAATCATAATTTGTATGATTATTTTTTTATTATTATTTAGTTTTTCTAAAGCATTGAAGATTCATTTTCCATGGCTGATTCGACTTTTAAAGCCATATCCACCCCCCCCTCCCCACTGGCTGTTGTATAACTGCTTGGCTTTATAATGGCTTTCATTCACATTAATGAACATTATTACTATATAAAATTCTTAACAGCTCATTAAAACCCCAGCGCTGCTCAAACTCATCATCCCAACCTGGAATAGCTCACTTATTGTGTGACGTCACCATTATTAATAATCCATGCAACTCCAACTCCAAAGTTTATGACACGATTTGTCACGGTGCGCATTGTGTTTGTGCATCGATACGCACTTCCTTTTAATTGCTATTGTCAGCCCCTGCGTTCGTCTCTCAGCTGTACAGAAAGTTTTAATTAGAAAACTTTGCCCTAAATGAGATACAGTATGGTTAAGCGTAATATTTAGACTGCGGATTGAAAAGTGTTTCTAAACTCTCCACATCACGGCTCTGGGGAGTAATCAAACCCAGAATCTGTATGCAAATCCAATCTTCGTCTTTAAATAAATGCATCCACTACTTTTAAAGGTTGATTTAATGTTTTGGTAATGTCTACCTGAACACTTGGGATTCGAAGAGGCTTTTTTTTTTTTTTTTTTTTTGCATTCAGACATTTGTCCTTTGAGTTAATACGGAAATTTAATTACTGAATAACTCGGGCTCTTGATAGAATCATAATGCTTTCAATTACACATCCGCCTGCTCTAAAAAGCTCTAATTTGTATTTCATTTTACACAATATAATCACTATTTGTGATGCTTTTCTCTCGCTTTAAAGCCGTCCCTGGGAGTGATGAAAGAAATTGTGTTTTCGTGTTAATATTTTGGGTTTAGTGGAGGATTAGGATGAGGATGATGAGTTTGTGGAGAACACACACACACACACACAGACACACACGTCCTTTCAGACACATCAAAGCATCAAAACTATATCCAGATCCTTTATAACAAGGAGAAAGTCTGAGCCTGGGTGGTGTCTTTCTGGGATTTTAGGTCAGGTTTGGGTCAGTGGAGAACTGAGCAGATTCTGAATAAATATGGAAGAGTAAGTTGAGACTCCAAAGTGTCTTCCTTTGTGAAAAATCATTTTGTTTTATTTTAATTTGTTTTCATATTATAAGCAGTGTCCACAAGAACTAATTTATTATAATCAGTTTATTTGAATTCATTGTCATTTGTTCGTTTGTTTAATGTTTATTAATGTATTAATTAGTTTGTTTATACTTTACTTACTTTTCATTTATTAGTTTACTATTTATTTATTAAATATTATTTTCATTTATTTTCGTTTTTTGAGCTGGCTATCTTTTAGACATTTAATTAAACAGTTTCTATCAGTTGAATAAAGGGACTCAGCCGAAGGAAAATGAATGAATGAATGAATGAATGAATGAAAGAAAGAACGAGCGAGTGAACTAACAAACGAATGAACGAACGAATGAATGAATGTTTCCATCAGTTTGTTTTTTAATCAGTTTATTTATGTATGTATTATTTTATTAAATCATCCGTCTATCCATCCATCCAACCATCCATCCATTCATTTCATTAATTTACCCATTTGTTTCATTTCATTTGATTTAACAAAGTAATTTAATTTGATTACTCACACAGTCATTTAATTTAATTTATTAACTTTTTAAATAATTTTTATAATATTTTATTTTATTTGTTCCTGCAATAGAGAAATGATAAAATATTTATTTTATTTTAATTTATTAATTAATTTTTTATTTTATATTCATTTAATTGAATTTAATATTTATTATATTTGTTCCTGCAAAAGAGAAATGTTCAAATATTAATTTTATTTTTACCAGTTTATTTTGCTTTAAATCAGTTAGATTTATATTTATTTAGTTATTTATTTGTTTATTAGTGTCCTCCATAGCAAAAATAGTTAAGGTATTAAACGTGTTTTATACATTTCCATCTGCTCAAGTTTATAAATATTTGCAGTTGGTAATGCTAAATCTGTTTGCATATTACCCTTTTCACAATGTGACTGTATACATAGTAAAATAATGAGAAAATCTTTATTCTATTGTATTTACATATTTAGCAAGTCCCTTTGCTAATAGGATAATAAGGATTTTATTTTATGTTAATTTATTTTAATTTGTTTTATTTTCACTTCATGAGCTGTCATAATTAAATAGTTAAGATATTTTTCCCCAGTTTATTTAGCTTTTTAAAGCAGTGTGTATGTATATTATATTTTTTTATTAATTTAAAATGGATTTATTTTATTTTATACAGTTGAAGTCAGAATTATTAGCCCCCCTGAATTATTAGCCCCTCTGTTTATTTTTTTCCCAATTTCTGTTTGACGGAGAGAAGATTTCTTCAACACATTTTCTAAACAATAGTTTTAATAACTAATTTCTAATAACCGATTTAATTTATCTTTGTCATGATGACAGTAAATAATATTTTACTAGATATTTTTCAAGACACCTCTATACAGTTTAAA